CGAAAGGTAGAAACCCAAATGTCCACCAACAGATGAATGGATAAACAAAATGGGTTACATACATATAATGGAATATACTATCCAGACATAAAAAGGAATGAAATTTTGACATATACCACAACACAGATGAACCCTGAAAATATGCTGCTAAATGAAATAAGCCAGACACAAAAGGACAAATAGTATATGATCCCACTTATATGAATCAAACAGCCGAATGCGTAGAGACCGAGAGTAGAATGATGATTACCAGGGGTTGGGGGCCGGAGAGAATGGGGTGTTACTGCTTAACAAGTACAGAGCCTCTGTTTGGGACGATGAAGAAGGTCTGGAGAGGGGCAGCAGTAACAGGCTCACGACACGGTGAACGTTCTACATGCGACTGAACTGCAAACACACTTAGAAGTGGTTAAAATGCTACTAAACTTTGGGATTTCCCTGGTAGCCCAGTGGTTAAGACTCCGAGCTTCCACCACAGGGGCGAGGGTCGGGGAGCTAAGATCCCACAAGCTGCGTGGCGCGGCCAAAAATAAATAAACAAAATTTTTTTAATGCTAAACTTTACGTTATGTATATTTTCCAACAACAGTGGCAGAGTGTGCTGGGATGGAGCAGGCCTCAGGAGGACGGGGCAGGGAAGAGCAACCCTGAAGAACAACAGCTCAAACGCACCAGAGGGAAAACTGCAAACAGTGCGCATTGAAAGGGCAGGTGGAGCAGAGGTGGGCAAGCTGGGCAAGCGAGAGGGAAGCCAGGGAAGACGGCCAACACCAAGCCCGGGAGCTCAAAGCTTCAAGGAGGGAGCTGTCCAGAGCCTCTAGCGGCTCCGAGGATGCTGAAGACTGCAGAGAGCACAGTGACACAAAAGTGTCCACAGCACTTGACAGCAAGTTGTACCTTCTCAGTAGAAAAGAACTGTGAACTAAAACAATGAGAGGTTTTTCAGCATCAAACTGCAAAGACTAAAAAAACAAAAACAAAAACCACTTGCCTGCTGAAAAAGTTCTGGAGATGGATGGCAGTGATGATTGTACAACAGTGTGAAAGCACTTAATGCCAGTGAAGTGCACACTTAAAAATGGTCAAGATGGTACATCAGGGACTTCCCTGGTGGTCCAGTGGTTAAGACTTCACCTTCCAATGCGGGGGGTGCAGGCTCAATCCCTGGTCAGGGAGCTAAGATCCCACATGCCTCGTGGCCAAAAAACCAAAATTAAAAAAAAAAGATGGTACATATGTTGTGTACATTTTACCGCAATTAAGAAAAAAAGATTAAAAACAAAATCCAGCCTGCTAGAGTGGAACGCATCTGTCTCTTTTACACTACTAATGGGGTATGACCGGGAGAGCTCTCTGGGAGGCAATTTATTGAATCAGTAATAAATTGATTAAAACTGCATTCTCCTGGGACTTCCCTGGCGGTCCAGTGATTAAGACTCCGCGCTTCCACTGCAGCCAGCATGGGTTCAATCCCTGGTGGGAGAACTAAGATCCCACATGCTGCATGCGGCCAAAAAAAAATGCGTTCTCCTGAAGCCAACAACTCCACTTTTTTTTTTTTAACTTCTTTATTGGAGTATAATTGCTTTACAATGGTGTGTTAGTTTCTGCTTTATAACAAAGTGAATCGGCTATACATATACATACATCCCCATATCCCCTCCCTCTTTCGTCTCCCTCCCACCCTCCCTATCCCACCCCTCTCGGTGGTCACAAAGCACCAAGCTGATCTCCCTGTGCTATGCGGCTGCTTCCCACTAGCTATCTATTTTACATTTGGTAGTGTATGTATGTCCATGCTACTTTCTCACTTCGTCCCAGCTTACCCTCCCCCTCCCCGGGTCCTCAAGTCCATTCTCTACGTCTGCATCTTTATTCCTGTCCTGCCCCTAGGTTCTTCAGAACCATTTTTTTTTAGATTCCATATATATGTGTTAGCATACGGTATTTGTTCTTCTCTTTCTGACTTATTTCACTCTGTATGACAGACTCTAGGTCCATCCACCTCACTACAAATAACTCAATTTCGAACAACTCCACTTCTAGGAACCTATTCAAGGGCAATAAATGAGGACGTGCAAAGGTATGAGGGCAAAAGGACAGTCACTGAAGATCTGTTTATGACACACACCTCCCCTGACAAACACACAATCCTTGTAAATAACCTAAATGCTCCAAAATGAGGGACTGTTTAAATCAAGCATAATATACCCATGCAAGACATACCACTCAGCCTTTAAAACTTGTAGTGCTTACTAACATGGAAAGATGTTCTTTTTTCCTTTACCCATCATGATTTATTCTTTACTTCATTAAATTATCATTCAATGATTTACATCCAGAAGTTACTGGATAAGGAGGCCAACAGGTGTTCCTGAGTACAGTCTGTGTCCCCTTTCCTTCTGAACAGAACCAGCTAGGACTTGAAGGGCTTCAGTGTCACTCAAAATCTCTTCTTCAAAGAAAACAAAACAAACAAACAAACAAGAACTCACAGGTTCCAGAGTTCCAACAAAAGCTCGCCAACACTAGGACTATAGATGTTACTAAAGACATATAGTATTAAAATGAAAAGAGCTTACAAAAAAGCATCCTACTAAGATCTCATTCTTATAAATATGCATACTAATAAAAATATATATTAACTTAGCAAATATCTACTCCACAGCTCCATAGGAGAGCTATGCTGACCACTGGGAATACCCCAGAACAAGACCACCACGGCCTCTGCCTCAGAATCCAGGGAGCTCTGGAGCTACCTGTGTGTGCATGAGGAAGACCAGGGAATGGTGACGACAGAGCTGGGGTTTTCTCTGGCAAAGGGAGAAATGAGGGTTATTGAATGCGTGCGAGGTGAAGACAGTGAGCCTTGCTACAACCTGAAATTGTGTCTGGGCAAGAGAGAGGCCGGTGTCGCTGGCTTCCCAACCTAGAGGTCAAGTGTAGAACCACCTGGACCAAATAAGACAGGTGTGAGAGGACCCCAAACACCACGGTTGACAGAGGGAGAGGGGTAGGTGCTCTGAAGAACTTTATACAGGGACTTCCCGGGCGGTCCAGTGGTTAAGACTCCATGCTTCCACCACGGGGGTTATGGGTTCAGTCCCTGGTCAGGAAACTAAGATCCCCCCATGCCGCGCAGCCAAAAAAAAAAGAAAAGAAAAGAAAAAAAAAAAGCACGGTGCCAAGAGTTAACATTATATTGTATACTTACCATTTTGCAAAGATCTTCTGTTAAGTGTTCTTATGTCACACACACATATAATAAGCAAGAAGGGCAGGAGGAAGCTTTTGGAGGGAATGGATTTGTTTATGGCATAGATTGTGGTGATAGTTTCGCAGGTGTGTTCTTATCTCCAAACTCAGATTGTGGTGATAGTTTCGCAGGTGTGTTCTTATCTCCAAACTCATTAAGTTGTGTACATCAAATATGTACAGCTTTTTGTATGCCATTTATACCTCAGTAAACTGTTTTTTCTTAAAAAGTTTAGCTAGCAAGGGAACAGAAATGACAGAAGCTGGATAGGGACTTGGCACCAACAGAACTGAGACCCAAGGTGCCCTCTAAGTGCGCAGGAGCTGGGCTGGATATCTCCAAACCACGGACTGCCCTGGAAAGAGCCAGAACCCTCATTTTCAGTGGTTGTTTGGGCTTGTTTCTAACTCACAGTTAATCCACTGGTTTCCAACCTACTGACCAAGAAGTGGCCACTCATCATTCATATCTTCCCTGTGGACCCCACTGATTGAAAGATTTTGACCTTCCAGGCAGTATTTATGAAAGAATAATTTGTTTTCTCACTTCTTTACGACTGAAGTCATGTATAACTTCCAAATAGCTTTCTAATCAGCAGGATTTCACCAAGGTGGCCTCAAGAATTGATAGGATTCCAGCCAAAAAGGAAGGTACGTTAGTTACCTGCCCAAGCAGCCTAAAGCAGAACAACTGCCCATTGTCTTGGGGAAATAATAAAATAGCTTGGACACCGGTTCCTACCCTCCCAGGCCCCTGGGTGGGAACTGCTGGACAGCCATTTCCTTTGCACCCAAGGACACTGCACATGACGCCAAAGACACACAGGAAGGCACAAGCAGAGAGGACCGGCCCCCATGGGGGCAGCAACAAGTCCCAGCACCACGTAAGGCAGAAGTGATATGTTTAGCAGTTAACATTATGAGGCTGAAACACTGTATGTCTTAAGGGAAGGAAACTTAGTAAATAAAAATAAATCCCTTGTTCTAGAGCCACCGTGAGTTCACTCTGACATGCAGAAGCAATGCACCTCTCTCCAGCCTTTTATTTGCCGCAGTCCCACACACACAGTTGGTCCAAAATATTTGCTGAACTAAATGATTTGTCTTCGATGTAATGTGGAAATTATATCGGATGTGCCCAACGAAGCAAAAATTCCTTTCTATTATTACCCACAATGTCAAGGGCAAATGTGTAAACAGCTCATCTGGCCCAAGAGTTCAGGTGTGGGGGCCCCAAAGCAGGCCTCTTTCAGTTCCGGAGAGCGTCCCTGGGACAGCTGGCGAGGCCAGAGCTCTACAGGACTGGACCCTACACTCCATGGAGCAGCTCAGAGTCAAGAGTTGTGGAGAACACCCGGGCAGTGCATTCCCAAGGACACCCGGGGCCAAGAGCAGGCAGGGCTACTGGAGCCCTGCATCCTCCAAGCATCCAGGCCCAGACCTCTATCTACACTCCTAAAAGTCCTTCAAAAATCTAACACTTGGCCCTAGGGACAGAGAGATGAATGAGATGCTGTCCCAGACAGCACATACTGGCAGTGACACCGAGTGAGTACTGGGTGAAGAAAGCCAGCACCTAAGGGTGCAGACCTGAGGGCTCAGGTACGGCAGTCAGAGGTCTTTGCCAGGGATCCTCGATCTGGTTGGGACAGTGCCCAAAAGCCATGGGACAGGACATCACAGTGCTCAGATTCCCCTCCCACTGGGGGCTCATTTCCATGTTCTACTTGAATATCAGGTCTCACCTTAGCAGGGGTGCTGGGTGATCCACAGGGGCTTACTTGCTTGTTCCCAAGTTCTTCTCCATGGAGCTTTTCCATACGCTCACTTCCACAGCTTCAAGAACCAGCTCCTCGTGATGATGCCGAGATGTCTGCCTACAGCCCAGGTGTCTCTCCTGAACGTGGCGCCCACACCTCACCTCCCTGCAGCCCTATTTCAGGTGCTCCCACCTCCGGCTCTGTCAGCACGGCAGAATCCTGAGGAGTCTCATGCCAGCACACAGCAGGAACATCTCTGGGCTCTGTCCGCTCCCCTGCAGCTCAGGCCCTTAACCTTCTTCCTAGCAGCGTCCTCAAATGGGCCACAGGTGTGCTGAGCCATGAGTCTGCACAGCACAGAACTCGGAGGGCATCCATCCATGGCGGTGTGGCTCATGAAAGCTCTGCACACTGACTCTGTCAACTGCCTGGCAGAAAGCAGGCGTCTGGAATGTGTCCTGAGAAAGAAGTGGCTTTTTTCTCATTTGTACAAAGACGTCATGGCGTTGGGAGGAAGGAGCTTGTTGACAAGGGGATCTCCTCAACCCTCGGGTGCACAGCAGAGCTGGGGACGACTGGAGTGCCCGGGCTGGTCACTTCTGACCATGAGCAGTCTCGTCCGTTTACCCATGAGCTGTACAAATATTTTCCGTGTGTCCATGACGTTAAGAAGATTGGGCAACTCTGGCCTCGCTTACAACCACAGCCTCTCTCTGTTTCTGGATCCTTTCTGTTGGCATCTAAACAAGCTCAGGTTTCTCCCGTTTGCACCACCTGTAAGGCCACGTGCCTGCCCCACCCAACACCCCCTTCTGCCCACAGGTCACTGCTCCGGGAAGCAGCACCAGGCTGCTCACCAGGAAAGGATCCAGGAGGACCAAGGCCCAGTAATGGGGACAGTCTAGGTGGGCCACGAAACCACCTCCGTCCAGAATCCCGCCATCACTCTTCCACCTGGGGCGCCTCAGGTGCATGATTACACATTACTAGTCTAACAATTCAGTTCTTCAACTCTCCCCACTAAGAGGTTTCATGGGTCAAACTGACCTCAGACTCCAGCATTAGTTACAACAACAACAAAAAAAGTCAAAGGGTCAACCAGGAATTAAATGGAATGTCCAGGAAGAGTTCAGTTAATACATTACCACAGTAGAGCACTATATCACCATTTAAAAAGAGAACATTATTATGACTATATAAATATTGTTCCCTGCAGAGCCAAGAAATGTGCCAGGAATTCTAGTTCCTTCTGTACATTTCCAATGTCAAGAGCCAAGTGCTCCTCAAAGGGAAAAGTTCCCAGCATCCAGGTCAAAGAGAAGCTTCTCCTCTCCAGCTCTCTCCCCACTGTTCAAAGCAGGTGGTGGTGGTATCTTAGTGTGTTTCACATTTGGATCACAACAGGCTTGTGGTCATTTTTCTTTTTTGTGGCATTTTTCTATTGCCTTCTTTTTCCTATTGAGAAAAGAAACACAGCCCATCTTCCTATAACCCTTGTGGTCTTCCAGCTTCTTGTTCATTCTGAACATTTCCTGGAATCCATTCCAGTCTCTGTCCTGGAGATATTATTCTTGGAGCTGACGACTTCCAGTTCTAATTTGGACTGGGTGCTTCTGAGGCCCACTCACAGCCGTCTGTCTGGAAGTTCTTTTCTTTAGGCTCCCAGAAGCTACCAATTCTCTTTCTGCCCCCAACTGCCTCCTTCATAGGCTTCACCCTTGTTTGGCTGGTGTAGACCCTCAGAATGAGTGGGAAGTAAACTTTTAAGTCCTTGCATACCTGTAACTGCCTTCACTCTCCCCCCTGACACTGGATGAATTTGGCTAGGTGTATTTGCTTCCCAGGGCTACAAATGACCACCAACTGGGTGGCTTAAAACAACAGGATTATTCTCTCACAGTGTGGAAGCCAGAAGTCTGAAATCAGTTTCACTGGGCTAAAACCAAGGTGTCAGGAAGGTCAAGCTCCCTCCAAAGGCTTGAGGGGAGAATCCGACTCCTGGCCTTTTCTAGCTTCCAGGGTTGCATTCCTTGACCTCTCCCTCCATCTTCAAATCTCTCTCTGCTGAGGTCTTCATGTCCCCGTCTCTCCTCTGTATCTGTGTATAGTAAAATCTCCTTAGGTCTCTCCCTCATAAGGACACGTGTGATTGCATCAGGGCCCACCAGGATAATCCACCATAATCTCCTTATCTCAAGATCCTCCCCTTAATCACATCCACAGACCCTTTTTTTTACCTTATAAGGTAACACTTACAGGTTCCAGAGATTAGGGCCTGATATTTATAGGGGGCATTTTTCAGTCTACTCTGCAGGATATAAAAATTTTTTCCAATGGTTAAAAAATTATTTGCCCTCAGTGTCTTGAAGGCCTGGCTTTACTACTGATTGTCTTTCATCCATGTTATCTGATTAGACGTTTATTTCGCTGCCTCTTCCTCTCTCTGATTCCTCAGCGTGAGAGCACTCCTCGTTCCCTCCCCAGCTAATCTAACTGAGTAGGTACCATGGCTTCAAACACCATCCATTGACCCCAGATCCACGCCGGACGAAGGAAGGCTTTGTTCTAGAAGGCCAGCACCCACACCCCCAGCCTTGCCTCTGCCAACGAAGTTCACCTGTCCTCATTTTCCCCTGAGACCTTCCATTAAAGTCCCAGCTTTCAGCACCACGTCTCATTCCTGCCCTGGGATGGACCTGCAGGCTTAGTTGAGAGGCTCTCTGGGGTTCTTGGGCAGGGCAGACTGGCCCGCTCCACTCGGGCCCACTGGGCTCTGGGGCTTCTCTGCTACATTTCTGATGTGGCCATACCTCCACCTGCTTTCTATCGTCCAGAAATCTGTTGCAATCTCTCAGCTGCTGCTAATCCCCTCCCATTCACTTTGCTGTCATAGGATTATACTTTTAATAATCTCTTTATTATCATTTTAATGGGTTCTGGGGAGGAAGGGTAGACAGAGGCACATGCGCTGAATCCCTCATCTTGAACTCTAAGTTAATCTCATTACCTTTTCAGTTATAACTTGCATATGCCGCAAAGATAACAGACGTTCTATTCTAAGCCTCTTGTCCGTGGGCTCCCATTGGTGGGAAGTGGGAGTGGGGACGGCAGGTTTCGGGTTCACATCCCAGCTTGTCACCTCCCACCCACCTCCGACACACACAGACCCTCCTTGTCTGAGCACTGCCCCTCCTGACACAGATCTGCCAGTGCGAGTTATGAGACTGGCAGACTGCATGCAGGTTTCCTCTTTCCAGGATTTTTTTTTTAAAAGCAAATTACTTCTGTGGCCTTCCCTATAAGGCCGGAATACAGGCACTGGGACATGAAATGAAGAGAAGGGACAGTGTTAAATGGGGAACATCTTTTGCAGGTTCCATCAGCCCAAGAGAACCTTTTCACTCAAAAGCGAAGCCTGCATGACACATCCCTGCCTCACCAAGGCTCAAGTTTAAAAATAAACATGGGCATTTGAAGGAGCACAAAAATAATTCGTGCCCGAGGCTCCACAGAACCCCATGGCACCAGGTGTATGCTGACCCCGCAGGAGCTGAGACAGGCCACGTTCAATAGAAAGTCAGCCCTTGTGGACCTCAAACAAGCGATACACGAGTAAAGGGAGCCTTTTTGTGCTGGATTCCCTTGTACTACAGAGCGTCAACTGCACCCCATTCAGACCAACCACAGGCGTCTGCTCTGTCTAGCTATTCATACAAGGGCTGTGAAGGCAGCCCCGGAGCCCAAATCCAAGACCTCACCCAGCCTTTGTCTCCTCTTCCCTATCAACCCCTGCACCAACGTACAGGATTAACAAAACAGAAGTTCCTCTCACCCATACCTGTGCCTTCAGAGGAGCTGTGCCTTCCCCCTGGAATGCCCCCTTGTTCACGGCCACCCCCCGCTTAGCCCACCCCCACTGGTCAGAATGCTACCATCTTTCAAGACAAAGTGCAATTTAGTCACCTCTTCCATCAGGGGTACCTGGGTCCACCATCAGACTGGATTCTCTCTCTGGAGCCCAGCTTTCTGTGTCTCCTCTGTGGCCTTCATATTATTCTGACTTGTCTTTGGGTAGCTATAGGTGTGCTGTACCCCCCAAATTGGACTGTAATCCCCCTTGGGCAGGAATCAGGTCTTCATTTCCAGAGCCCCTGCAGCACCTTGATAGAGGAAGTGTTTGAAGTTGTGGCCAGAGCTCTGAGTGAACCCAAGTCACAGAGGGCCCAGAGGGCCTAGTCCCTGGCTGGTGTGACCCCTGTGAAATTCCACAGGGCAAACAAGCAGACCTTTGTTTGAAAGCAGTGGGAACCCCTCTCTACAGCAGAACTGCTAGGTAATGTTTTCCTTCCAGGCACACATACACACAAGCACACATACACACGTGCATGCACACATACACACACAGAGGCATGCAGAGATATATTGACCCTCTCAGCTCCAGGCTGCAACAGGACAGCTGGAGGCCCAGCTTACGGCTTCCACCAGCAACTCCTCCCTTTACCCCAGGTGCTGCACAAATGACCTTTCCCGATGCACTCTGCCTGGCCTGAAAGCACAGCTCTACTGGGGTGAGCTTAAGGGCCAGGACTACGTTTTATGTGTCACGTCACAGCCAGAGCCTGGCACCCAGAAGACATGTCTTAACAAAGTGGTGAGGGAATTCCCTGGCAGTCCAGGGGTTAATATTCGGCACTTTCACTGCCGTGGCCCAGGGTCCATCCTGGTTGGGGAACTAAGATCCTGCAAGCCGCACGGCGCAGCCAAAAAACAAAACAAAAAAAACAAGGGGGTGAGACAGAAGGGTGCAGAGAGAGAACAAAAGTGTCCGAGCAAACAGTCAGTCAAGTTCCATTTATACTTCGTTAGGTTTGGCAGGAAATGTACACAGCATTGGTAGGTCTTCAGTAGACAGAAATAAGTGACTATTAGAAGAATGACATGTTTTCCTATCACACTGTGCTCTGGTTATGATGAATCAGATGGGGGCTATTTATCATACTGGATCTTCTACACGTTTTTCTCCCTTTTGGAAAAGGTCTGACACTCGACTTTTAGCAGACCCAGGCAGCTAGCAGGTGTCCAGACAGTTGGGGCCTACGTGTGCCCAGAACAGTCCGTGCTCCTTCCCATATACCAAGGACACACTGCCCGTCCCCTCCAAAGGCCCAGATGGCCTGTGTGTAGACTTCTCTCCACTTCCTTTTTATCTCCTCCAAGTGCTCTGCATCAAGCTTCCATCCTCAGATTCACGGGTTTCCATGCACACTCACATTTGCAGTGCAATTCGTGTGCCTCTCCTAAGGCATCTGGTTTTTAAATAGGAAATGCCTTTCCATGTCCTAGAGCAATGCTGAGATCCACTCACCAGATCTTGGCAGTACCTCGGAAAAGGTATTTCCCAGAGGTCCTGGCATGTATTGACCATCTGTCGGTGTCTGGCATCGTGCTGGGCACTGACATACATAGCTCACCTCATTTTCCCAACAACCTTGAGAATCAGTGTCTGTGTCTTCATTTTACAGAGGAAAACAGGGGGAAAAGATTAAGTAACGCACCCAAGGGCACACAAAGTTGTCAGGCGGGAGTCACCTGGGTCACCTAAACCCAACACACCCCTCAGGCTCCCTTCCCACTTGTTCCATGAGGCCCCACACCTGTGTTCCCTGACCCTCCTCCCCAGGCTGCCTCCCCTGCCACCATGTTCAGGCAGAAGCCCTCCTGAGGACCTCAGCGGGTCTCTGGGCAAACAGGTTCATCCTTATCCATCTCTTACCAAGGCTGTCATCCCAGGCCTTAAGGAATGATCCAGAAATCCAAATCCTGCTCACCAGCAGCAACCCCACAGTCCTTCCCAAAGTCTCCACAGTCAGGAGAAAACCCAGAAAATACCTCCTGAGTCCCCCAAACCTTCAGGTTCCTGCCCAAAGGCTCACAACTCCTAAAGGTGCCCCTGGGGCCTGTCTGGACCATGTTGATGAACCACCCACCAGGCAGTAAGATGGGGCAGCAGGCAGCAGCTGGCCCACCTGGTGCTTCAACAGCTGGCCTCCTGGGTGGCCACAGAGAATGTCCATCTGGCCCACCTGGGCCTCTATGCAGCCACCAGTCACCCGAACAGGTCTCTTCCCACTGCAGCACTAAACAACTATCTCAGGAAACCCCCCTGTCTCTCCAGCTCCTGTCCACACTCACCCCTGATCTGTGGGGCAGGCTTCCTCCTGACCATTCCAGAGTTCGTGCTCCCTACTGACCTTTCTGGACCACATCTACCCACCTACCACCCTCTCAAACAGCACTTCCTCTGGGAAGCTAAGATTCTGCACTCAATTTCTTTTTTTTTCTTTTAAAGATTTTTTTTTTTAATGTGGACTGTTTTTAAAGTCCTTATTGAATTTGTTACAACACTGCTTCTTTTTTTTTGTTTGTTTTGGTTTTTTGGCCACGCGGCATGTGGGATCTTAGCTCCCCAACCAGGGATGGAACCCGCACTCTTGGCACTGCAAGGCGAAGTCTTAACCACTCCAGGGAAGTCCCTACACCCAATTTCAATGTGTGGGTTTTCCCCCACACCACCAAGCAACTGTCTGAGACACCAGCTGGGTGTCCTACAATCCAACTCAATTCTGACACCATCCACCCGAAGAGAGGGTCAGATCCCACAGGTTACAGGTTCAGTCCCACAAGAGCCCCTCCCGCCCCCACTTCGTATGTCAATCACAAGTCCAGTTACCACCTGTGCTTCTCACCAGCTGGCGACAGATTCAAGGTCTCAACAGTTTGATTCATTTGCTAGAGCAGTTCACAGAATTCAGAGAAACATTTTACTCACTAGATCACTGGTTTATTATGAAAGGATATAACTCAGGAACAGCCAGATGGAAGAGACACATAGAGCAAGGTATAGAAAAAGGACTCAGAATGTCCCTGCTCTCTCTGAGCGCCACTCGCCCCAATTGCCCACGTGTTCACGAACCTGGAAGCTCCCTGAACCCTGCCCTTTTGGGTTTTTATGGAGGTTTCGTTACAGAGGCATGATTGATGACATCATTGGCGATCGATTCAACCTCCAGTCCCTCTCCCTTCCCCAGAGGTGGGGGAGCGTGGCTGAAAGTTCCAGCCCTGTAATCATGTGGTCGAGTCCCCCGTCCTCAGGTGCTTTCCAAGTCACCTCATTAACATAACAAGACACCTTTAAGGCTTCTTCACAGGAAATTCCAAGGGTTTGAGGAGCTCTGTGCCAGGAACAAGACGAAGATCAAATATATATTTATTATAAATTATCACAGAAGCCTTCCCCAGCCTCTCCCTTCCAGGCCAGACACCCCTACCATCTGCTCTCGCGACACCCTGTGCCTCTCCTGCAGAGCACAGCTGGATGACCAGGCTCCTCTCTACCTCTTCCTTCCTCCCTCAAAGTCCCAGGTCTTCAATCTCTTGTCATCAGACTCTGTCATCCTCTACCCCTCGCTGCTGCTGTCAACCACCAACCCCGTGTCACTCCCCCTCGTTTCTGGATGATATCAGGATCACAGGCCCTCTCTCTCCCGATTCTCAGTCATTTCGACCCACACATACATGATCCTTCCAACTGGCCTCCTAACTGCTTGAACCCCCCTCAGCCTCTCCAACTCCCTGTCAAAACCTGTCATTTATCAATAACTCCAAACCCGTCTATAATCTTCATTCCATGCATCCCACCCTCTGCAACTGGCACCCACTCACCCACCGTGCCCGGTTCCTGCTCCCAGTCACCTTTACCTGCTCTATTGCTCATGGCATTTGTCACCTCCAATATGCCATAAAATTTACTTATTTGTTACAGGTTGATTTATCGTGTGTCTCGTTCAAATGTAAGTGTCACAAAGGCAGGGATTCTTGTCTGGTTCACCACGTGCAGCACCTGGTATACGAGATACTCAACAAACACTTGTTGAATGAATGACTTTTACTTTTGGAATTATTCAATCTCCATCTCCCCTGCTATACTGTAAGCTCTACAAGGACAGAGGTCAAATCCATCTTAGTCACCCCTGGAAGTACTCAGTAAATACTATGTAACTGAGGGAATGGAGGAGCAAAGTTCATATTTAAGAACTGCATTGCTGGGCTAAACCCGCTGCTTGCAAGGGTAACTTCCACCCAGACTGCTTGGATGCAGCTCTGTTCCCACTGGCTGCCACCTGAATACAGGTGACCTAGATAAAGCTGTTGCTTCTGATAAACCCAAGCATGAAGCATCAGAAGCCCACAGACACGGAGATCTGAGCATAAACAGTGCTTTCTGCTGCTGCCATGCAAATATTTGATCCCATGGATGTGGGGGAAATTCATTTTACCTGTTACCAAGAATAGTTTCAGAGGCTACCTGAAAAAGTTCATTCTAAAAACAGATTACCTAGAAGACGCTTGTCAACCATGAACTTCCTCCCAGCAAAAGACACTGAACGAGATCCTATCTAGGTTTCAGATCATAATTTCAGTCTGTGACTTCCCCTTCAAGCTGCACTCATGACTCACTAGGTTAGTTTAGCCATTCGTGGGTAAGGGATTTGCTCTAGGAAAAAACCATACAAATAAACCAAACAATTTTTGTAAGATGCACAAACAGAACCAAATGTCACTACTTCAGACTTAGTCTGACCTCTCACCTAGGATGAAGGGGCTTGAAATGCACTCCCATTTGTGGAGATAAAGTGCTGACAGGGAAACCAGTCCTGAAAATCACATCACTCAAGCACCTTCCAGCTCCGGTTCCTGACAGGCAGCTCCTTCTATTACAGCCAGGAGAGGCCCAGATACAGCAAAGCTGCCAGGACACTTGGGGGGAAAAAAAGTTCTCGTGCATCTTTCAGACAAACAATGCAGGCAATCAGCTAAAGCTTGAACCCCTGGCAAGTGTGGGCAAGATCCTGATTCACAGCCAAAAAGCAGGTGAGAGCAATGTGGGCTTTGGTGAGCTTACCACCCTGCTCTGTGTCAAGATTAATATCGATATAACTCATCCGACATAGACCTAGCCTAACAGGTTTACTTACTGGGGACTCAGATGCCTACTACGTGATCTGAACATTGTCTTAATAGATGTGATTGCAACATACAACTCAAGAAGACTGAAGAATTAAGTCATTCTGAGAACCTCTACTGAAATGTGAGAAAAAGAACCGGAGAGAAACTGGAAGAGAGAAGGATGAGAAAAGGAATGGGTTCGGTAGATTCAGGGCAAAATCTGTAGAAAACTCAGCTGCATTCCGGTGGTGATGACTTCCCCACGAGAATACACCTCTTGCAAAGGATCTCCTTCATCCCTCTCCAGAGGAGAAGAGGAAACACAAGAAGAAGCACCTGGTGCAGAGCCCCAATTCCTATTTCGTGGATGTGAAATGCCCAGGATGCTATAAAATCACCACCGTCTTTAGCCGTGCACAAACAGTTTTGTGCGCTGGCTGCTCTACCGTCCTCTGCCAGCCTACAGGAGGAAAAGCAAGGCTTACAGGAGGATGCTCCTTCAGACAGAGGCAGCACTGAAAGCACCCTGAATCAGGATGAATGGGAAACCACCCCAATAAACACATTTTGGATTTAAAAAAAAAAAAAAAGGAAGGAAAGAAAAAGAAAACTCAGCTGCATGAACAGCCATGGGTTCACATCAGACTAAATACCTGTTTATTACCCCTGCCCTTTGGAAGGTGTGCTAACAGAGCTTCCTTAAACACATCTCTTTTCTTTTAAACCTCAAGTGGTACTTTTGAAACAAAGATTGTTTTTGTCATGGAACTGTAAAAGTCTCAGAGTAATACAACGTATATAACCACCAGCCCACTCAGAGTCCTGGCTGTGTGACGTTAAACAAGTAACTTAACCTCTCTGAACTCATTTCCTTATCCATAAAACATGAAGCTTAAATGAAATAATGCCTATAGATAATCAACAAATATTACTTCCCTTCCTCCTGGCAGAACTCAATCTTCTACAGAATCCAAGTAAGACACCACAATGACCGTCTGGCATGACCTATGTCTGTCCAGCACACCATTCTGTGGCCTCACAGATAAAAGAACCTGTGTAATTACAGAACAGCAAGAAAACTGGGAAATAATCGGCCAGTTCTGAGATGCCACCATGGCTCCTGAGGGGAGGGTCATCTGCCAGAAGATAAAGTAGCCTTCTCTTCCCTGCAGAGTCTCCAGAAATCTCCACCAAGTACATATAGAAACCAGTGCCAATACTACAGTGGTTGGGAGGATGCAGATGTGGCCCAAGGACATGGTCATCTCACGTGTGCAGTCACGTGGCAGTGAAGGGACAAATAAGACCAACTAAGAATTCACGGGGCTGATACAAACAGCTGATGGATGCAGCCTCTCAGGGGAAAACTTGCATTATATCACGTGACACCTTCATCTGCTTTCGTGACATTTCCAGGGCTGTGCCAATTTCGCCGGCTGCTCGCAAGGCAGCTGTTGGAAGCTGCATCCCTTTCTCTATGAGGAGAACCTCCTTGGGCACCCAGCCAAGCTCTCCCCCTGAGAGGCTCCCAGAGGTACAGTATGACCAGGCCTGGGCCACACGGCCATGCTTGGTGTACTCTACTTAATTATTTAAGGAATGAGGCATTGTTTCCTTTGTGGGCAAAGCTTTCAGAATATTTAAAATTCACGGGAGAAGCCAAGGAGTGGGTTTTTTTTAGCTCCCTCCCTTGAAGTAAGGGATATGGCTTTCAATCAGGTTGTGGGATTCCAATTCCAATTTTCCAGAATATTCCATCCTTGGTGAAACATGCCTGCTTTAAAAAAAAAAAACAGGGATTCCCTGGTGGTGCAGTGATTGAGAGTCCGCCTGCCGATGCAGGGGACACGGGTTCATGCCCCGGTCTGGGAAGATCCCACGTGCCGCGGAGCGGCTGGGCCCGTGAGCCATGGCCGCTGAGCCTGCGCGTCCGGAGCCTGTGCTCCGCCACGGGAGGGGCCACGACAGTGAGAGGCCCACGTACGGCAAAAAAAAAAAAAAAAAAAAACAGAGAAGAAAAAACAGGGAGGAAGCCCTGACAAAGGCCAAACTCGATTAATCATCAGTTTTGTCCCACGGGAGTCACTTTCAAATTTAGCGGATCAGACTCTGTTGGTGCCAAAGTCAGGTAGGAGCCCAACCATTGCTTGGGAACACGCTGGTTGCAGGGAGGTACAGGGCCCCCCTAAGACAGGAAGCACTGCTCAACCCCAGGTCCAACTCAGTGCTCGTCTCACCCAACTCCACATCCTGGAAGAGATGCCACAGGCCATCTAGGTGGGCACCTGAGGGCCCACAAAGGTGGGCTCACAGCCCTGGATAAGACATGGGGAGGGGCTAGGCACACCCCATGGCAATGCCCAGGGAACACGTTCCCACACCTCAGAGGGGTCACCTGAGGCCCCAGGATGGGTGGAGGGCCCACTCCCTGAAAGGACAGTTAATGCACTGTCTCCAAAAAGGCAGGCACGTTTCCAGGGGGCCTCTGCACCCCAGAGCCGCATACCTGAGCATGTGCAGGGGGTTCATCTCTCCCAGCGAAGCTCAGCCCACAACATGGTCTTCCTGAGGATAGGAAAACCTGGCAATGCCCAGAGTTGTGTGCTCCTCAGAACAAGAAGGTTTGGACAAAGCTTTTGCAGCCATCACAGGCCACCTCCTTCTGTCCCTGCCCTGTGTATATACCCAACCTGTAACAGGTGCCCTCAGGCTCCCTCAGACACCCACCTGGCTGCCTGTGTCTCCCTCCCACTGGTCGGAGTTCCCCCAGATGTCTCCACAAGAGCAAATCCCCCTCCTCCAAATGGCAGTGCTCACCTACATGGAAACAGCTCTCTCTTCCCCCTACCTCTTGGCCCATGTTCTCCCCTCTCTAAGCTGAACATGCCCAAATCCTTTAAACAAGTGGTTCTAATCTCTTTTTGAGTCAAGGACCCCTTTGAATATCTGATAAAAAAACTATGGCAGGGCTTCCCTGGTGGCGCAGTGGTTGAGAGTCCGCCTGCCGATGCAGGGGACACGGGTTCGTGCCCCGGTCCGGGAAGATCCCACATGCCGCGGAGCGGCTGGGCCGGTGAGCCATGGCCGCTGAGCCTGCGCGTCCGGAGCCTGTTCTCCACAACAGGAGAGGCCGCAACAGTGAGAGGCCCGTGTACCAAAAAAAAAAAAAAAACTATGGCAAAAAACTATGGCCATCCTCCCTAGAAAAGCACATGCACATACACAATGCTCATACAGTTTGTGGGGAGGGGTGTTCACAGACCCCTGAACTGCATATAGGGACTTCATTTTAAGAAAACTTCCTTCAAATCATCCTCAGGAAACATGTGTCCAGACCCCTCCTGCTCTGCTCTCCCTTCTAAATTGGATGAACTCTGACACCCAGAACTAAATACAACATTCTAGATGCAGAGTGAAGCACACCCATCACCTCTATTATAGCTATTTTCATACTTCGACTGAGGTCTTCAAAGTTTTAGCCAGCCTTCGAGACAACCACACCACCTGGGTGGACTCACATGGAACTCACCATCAACTCAAAATCCCCAAGTCTTTCACATGCTCGGGAAGATGTGCCCCACTTCCCACCCCTTTACCTCGGGGAGAGCCAGGAGGCCACACCCTCTGAGTCACCCAGCATCATCCAGGCTCTCGGTCCTCCCTGCTCTGTTCATCCCCAAATTGGAGCCAGTCCTTCGCTCCTCCCTACACTCTCAAATCCTCTGTGGCCTCACTGAAGTCCTTGAAATCAGCGGGCACCAGCTGTCCAGCCAGAATATTCCCTTCACCTTCATGCCTTAACTGACACTAGGCTGGTCCCTGAGGATAGCACTCCGCATACCACGCACAGCCAGTCTGCTCCTCTCGCCTCCTACAAAAGCAGAACACAAGGGGAGACGGGCGACTGGTGTCCTTGTGGCCCCCCCAGCACGTGGCTCTCTCTGAGCGCTTGAAGGCGAGACCATTCCAGCCACCTGCCTCCCCTCCCCACCCTCACCAGCCTCCAGGTGTTTCCGGTCATTGATCCGGTCATTGATCAGGGGCTTCAGCTCCGAGCCCAGCTGCTTCTTCCAGCCACCTCCTGTCACCACACGGATAGCCGCCAGCACCCTGGACTCAGCCCCTTGACCTCCGCCAGTCCAATGCCTTCTTCCCCATGCCCTTCAGTGACTTCCCTTCCTTCCCTGAATGGCTCATACCCTTCCCACGGGCTATCACTGTTCCCAACCCCGTGGGAATACCCTGCCTCTCAGCCTGATGCGTCCTGCCATCCGCTTCCCATGCCCACACCCAAGCAACCGGGCAACATCACAAAATCGGGTGGACATGTTTCACTTTAAAGGCATGTTCTCGGACCTCAAACTGTCACTCTGCAATGGCCTACAAAGCCTGGGTTTCTCTGGGAGGCTTACCACCTGCTCCCAATTTCACACCTTTTTCTTCTTCTCAAACTTCCCACACCCAGTCCTCCACCCTTTTTTTTCAATTAATTAATTTATTTGTTTGTTTATTTATTTATTTTTGGCTGCGTTGGGTCTTCGTTGCTGCGCGTGGGCTTTCTCTAGTTGTGGCGAGCAGGGGCTACTCATTGCAGTGGCTTCTCTTGTTGCAGAGCACGGGCTCTAGGCGCGCGGGCTTCAGTAGTTGTGGCATGGGCTCTAGAGTGCAGGCTCAGTAGCTGTGGCGCACGGGCTTAGTTGTTCCGCGGCAGGTGGGATCTTCCCAGACCAGGGCTCGAACCCACGTCCCCTGCATTGGCAGGCGGATTCTTAACCACTGCGCCACCAGGGAAGCCCCTCCACCCTTTCTGCGAGCTGATGACCTTGTCTCAAATATCATGGAGAAAACAGGAGGCTTGGACTGGAACTCATGCATCTTCCACCCCACCCAGACCTGCCTCTATCTGCTCCCACTGTGGCCTCCTTCCCTCCTTTCCAGGAGAGGGTGCCTCCCTCTCCCCACTCCAGGGGACAATTCTTCCCCTGATGCCCTGAGCCCCATGCCTGTCATCTTCTCAAGGCCTGGGCTCCTCTGTCACCTCGCTTCTCTTGGGCAGCATTCCTGCCAGCATCCGTGCATGCTGGAGTTCTCCTATCTTAAATACCTTCCCCCTTTACCCACAGCCTCTCATGTTGTCTCATTCCTCTGCTCCCTAAACAGTCAACTTCTTGAAAAAGTGGTCCACGCATCCCCCACGCAACCCTTGTTCCAGCCTCCCATTCAACTTCCAGCCCACCTGGTGTCCGGCCCCACCTCGTCACTGACTGGTTTGAGGTCAGGGCCACCAGCGGCCACCATGGCACCCAGTCCCAGGCCACTTCTCAGCAGCGCTTGACACTGATGCCCAAGCCCTCCGCCTGGAGGCACGGCCCCAGTTCCTCCTCCCTCCCCGGGCGTTCCTCCTCTGTCTTCCTTGCTGGCTCCTCCTCTTCTACCTGCCCCTCGACAGTGTGTGTTCCTGAGCCCTCTCCCCCTCTGCCTACCCTCCCGATCCATCGTGACCTCACGCCATCTACCTC